AAAACAAAACAAAACAAAACAAAACAAAAAAAACTAAGAATGCCCCAAAAGGTCCAACAACAGCAGTACGGAGAACCAAGTTCTGCTCATACTATGAACACTATACAAATCAACATGGATACACTGTAAAAATCAAGTATTATGCAAAAGAAGGTATTCGGGGAATACATGGTGATTCCATCTATACACTTAAATTCTCAAAAACAGGAAAATAATTGTATTTAGAGATGCAAGTATAGGTAGTGAAAAATACAGGGGGAAAAAATAAAGCTCACGAATAATAAACACCACATTTAAGATAGTAGTAAAACTGACTCTGTCACTCACTGGTAACATACTTCTCAAGAGAAGTTGAATCCTGCAATGGTGACCTCAGCTCAAATCTCCAGCTAGTAAGCCTGAAGTATCCCTGGCCCACAGACCAGGGCCCCAAGATCATATGGGCTAGAGTGCTGGAAAAAAGGGATCATACTATGACTAAATTCTGTAGTCTGCTCATCTCTGATTCTTGCATGTACGTGCATGTGCCCTATCATGATAAGGAGGGGGAGACAGTTGTTTCTCCCCTAGAAAAGGGGATAGAGATGAAACTGTGGGGCCATCACATGGCTTTTAAAAATATTTGCCAGGCCATCATGGGAATGCATGCTGGACACTACTGCTTGGCAGTCTGAGGCCACATGGGAAGACTGGTTCCATTCTAGTCCAGCCATACAAAAACAAAACAAAAACTATGTGATGGTGCACACCCCTCTGGACCTAACTGATCAGGAAGCTGAGGCAGGAGAATCACAACACTGAGAGATCCTCTCTAAAAACCAGCCTCCACAACACAAAAAATGAACATAAAAATCAAAATAAATCTGCTGGTCTAGATAATAAGAGTCCGTGTTAATACTGTATTTTAAATTGTACATGTCTTCATATGCTCTTCTTACATGTATAAATCACAATAAAGTTCAAATTAGCACATAAAATCTAATTAAATAACACCAAGTTCAGATAATAATAATAATTAACATACAAATAATAATTATTACAAATTACTTTTTAAGTGACATTTACAACAATAATCAAAATATGTTTCTAAAAATAAATTTTAAAAAATACTTAAAATCTAGATAAAGATAGTTCTAGGATGCTTAGAGATTAAAAATAAAAAGAGTTGATCAAATAAGAAGATACTGCTCATTCTCAGGTAGTAGAAATAAATATAATTCTGTTCTCACTAAACATCTCTATTTTTAATAGGATCTAACCAAGGTACTAATCAGATTTTGATGTGGAGTGGAAGAGCTCTAACAAACTGATGTGCTTTTGCAGGAAAAGGAAATTTTAAGAGTATGAGGGGATTAACTCAATGGCATTATAAATTTTAAAAGGGCCTCGGTAATTATAATAGCATGGGTTTGACACTGAAGTAAAGATCATCAATGGAAAAATGACAGACATTCAGAAATGTACCCCATTAAAACAGTGAACTTTATCTTTAAAAAAAAAAAAAATTCCAGAAGACATGTGTGTTCACCAGGAAGAGAAAGAGAGAGGGCGAGGAAGAAAGCATCCCTAATAAGGCTTGGTCACGCTGCAGTGCCATCTCTTCCATTTCTCCGTCCTGTTAGGATTTGGGACACGCATACACATGCACCTGGTATATATTTTAAACAGCTGGGGCTGGAATTGGAACCATATGGTTAGCCATATGGGATCTGGCTCCTTTAACTCAGATAACCATGGGGCCAGCCCAATTTTAAACAAAATAAAGATGGTATCAAATTTATGAGAAAAAGATGCTTTATTTAATGATGTTGGAACAGTTGTCTTGACATGTGAGGGAAAAATTTTAAGCCAGATTGTCTTAATTTTTATGTCATGAATGACTAAAAAGTTTTTTAAGATATGCATTATATTTTAAATAATAACTAATGTACTAATAATCATCTGTTAGGGAGTTCTTGCTCTACATTCAACCACTGTGCCAAGTTTTACACATGATTTTATTTAACCTTCTTAATGACCCTACATAGTAGACTCTAGGGAAACTAGCTAAGTAAATCAATCCAGTTCATAGAACTAAGAATTGGCAGAGATATAAAACTAGCTCTTGGTAGCAGAGTCTAAAGCCTGTATCCTAACTGATATGCAATAGTGATAAAACATAATGAAAAATGAATACACTTAATATCTATGTATTACTTATAATTTTTACTTTTTTGCCCAAAATGGAAATCATCACATTATTCTGTGCAAAATTCCCAATATTCCCTATCTTCCTTTCTTTCCTTTATCCTCATTAAGTAGACTGACTATTCCACTTCACTGCCCATTAAATGTACTACATATCAAGGAATGACAATAAAACGCTCTGATACCAGCCCAAGAATTAAAAATTAAGTCTTAGAAGTAGGATAGCCCCCAAAGTGATCTGTATCCATGTGGCCGTGTGTGTGTGTGTAAAAAATTTAGTAATTTTGTACATGAAAAGGTAGTACCATAGTCAGTAGAGAAGGTAAATGTTACCAGAAAAGTTCAATAAAAAGTGGGAAGAAAAAGTATTTAAGTTCTTTGTCATTTTTCACACCAAAATAAATTCTTGATAGATTTGAGAATTAAACTTTTAAAGTACTTGAAACTATTTTTTCTAATTAAGGAAAATGAAAGTGATTATTATATTTTACACAACTGTAAAACTTATATAAACAAAGAAATCCTTAAATGTAAAAGTCAAGTGATAAACTAGGAGAAATATTTATATTGCATAAAAAATGGCTTATGTCTTTTATATACAGTGACAGACTATCAAATACAAACAAAAAATTCAGTTGGAAAAAGATATGAAAAGACTTCAAGTTTGTGATTTTCTTAGGAATTATTTAATCAGGGACCAACCAGCAGTCAGCGTAATGGCTATGTCGCTGGACTCCCCCATAGTCGACCACGGTTCGCATCCTGGATCCAGCGGCTTAAACTCATGCCGGGTGCAGGTGTGTGTGTGCCCAAGATCCCGAGAGGAGAATGGAGAAGGGATTGTGGCATGGCCATCCCACTGGGGGGTGATTTCTCGCTTTCTGTCTCTCTATCTCTCTCTGTCTGGCGAGCGCACACGCCCTATAGCAAAAACCTTTCCAAAAAAAAAATTATTTAATCACATTCATTGTTATTATTATTTATTATTATTATTGTTACTATTTTAACTTGCTACAGGGTACATGTGCTCACCAGAGAGAGAAAGAGGGAGAGAGAAAGTGGGAAAGCAAGCCACCAGGTCTGAGACTCAAACAATGGTCAGTCATGTGGAAATCCATGCCTCAACCACCATGCCACCTATCAGGCCCCAAGTTTGTGATTTTAAAAAAATGAAAATGGAATTAAAATGAAGGGTGTTTTTGATGCAAAAAATGGTTTGGGTGACAGAAGGTGGTACGGTGGTTAAGGCGCTGAACTCCCACATGACCGACCCTGGTTTGAGTCCCAGACCTGGTAACTTGCTTTCTCATTTTCCCTTTTTTGCACTCTGGTCACATTTAAAAATAATAATAATAATAAATAAAGCAAAATTAAGGATTATTTTTAAAACTGTTTAAATCCACGCATACATTTTTTCATAATAAATATTTTTTCATATGTCAAAGGTGATTCATCAAAGGACTGCAAAGGGTCAATAAATCCTACTGAAAATTAATAGTATACAAATCAAGGCAAAATTTAAAAACACTAAAAAATGTCAGTAAATTTCAACAAGATGGAATCTTTTGTCAAATGGTTGTTGGTTGTAGGAATTTAAGTTCATGAGCTCTGCCTAAAAAAAATTTAATTTTTCAAAATTTAAGTTTTCATGTTTAAAACTTTTTACTCTATTTTTTTATTTCTCAGAGTATATATTGAGAAAATAAAAAGACATACACTTAATAAAATTATGTATAAGAATATTTAATAAAAGTTGTTTATAATGGTAAAATATTGGGGAATACTTCAATTTTCCCAATAAAAGAAAATGTAAGTATAGTATATCCTTAGAATGGAATCCTATAAATTCATGCTACCAAAAAATCCTTAGAAAAATGCTCATTATTTGTTAAAAGAAAAATTATACAAATAGCCATTCATACATTCAACAAATGTTTACTGAGAGTTTACTGTATGTAAGGCCCAATTCTATATACTGAGAACATTCTCTGCCCTCATGGGGCCTATTTGTCAGAAAAATTTTTTAATATGTATAGTACTAATATCTCTATGTATATGGATCTTAGATAAACCTATACATGTATATTTATACATCTGTGTACATATATGTTCAGTTTTGTAATCTGTCTGCTCAAATTCTGCCTCATACTAAATGCTGGTTTTCGTATCTGGAATGATTGTTCAATTCTGGTTCCTATTACTGCATTTTCAGTGCTACTCATTCTGGCACTGTTTAATGTGGATAACCTTACAGCTTATTCCCCAATGTCAAGGTATTTCTTGTATTTTAGAGAGCCAAGAATATTAGGGTTATAGACTTGAGTGAATGAATGAGTAAATGATGGGAAAAGACCCTGAAATGGAATCAGGGGCATGCTGCATAGGAGGCTTGGAAGTGTGTCAGGCAAGCAAGGAATGTTTTCTATGCAGTCTCATCCCCTTTCCTCACTGCCCCTTCCACTATTCCCACCACCCATGGAGAATTCAGGATTTTTTTTTTTTTTTTTTTTTTTTTTGAGAGAGATTTTTGCTATAGGGCGCGTGTGCTCACCAGAAAGACAGAGAGACAGAAAGTGAGAAATCACCCCCCAGGGCGGATGGTCACGCCGCAATCCCTTCTCCTCCATTCTCCTCTCGGGATCTTGGGCTCGCACGCACATGCGCCCAGCGTGAGTTTTAAGCCATCGGGTCCAGGATGCGAACCCTGGTTGACTACGTGGGAGTCCAGCGACATAGCCATTACGCTAACTGCTGGTTCCCAAGAATTCAGGGATGTTTTAGAAATGAAAAAAAAAAAAAAAAATCCTACTCACCTGGGATCAGACTATGAAGAAAAGCATACACATTCCTTCATCCTTTGTGCTCCTCTGGGGAAGGATGAATTGAGAGGGCTGAGCTGGGGGAGAAGAAAGAATGAATGAAAAACTTGGCATGACTTTAAATTCTCAGATTCACTAAAATCTCCACATACAAAGTATATGGTGTGACCACTATCTCTCCTAGAAAGAGAATTTTAAAAGTCCAAGAACATTCCCTTTCAACAATCAGAAAAAAGGAGAACTGTGAGTACTGGCACTTTGAAACTCATTTCTTCTAGAAACTTCAAAGAATACAACTCTAGACTGGACCAGAGAGACAGAAATTGAGAAATCACCCCCCAGGGCGGATGGTCACGCCGCAATCCCTTCTCCTCCATTCTCCTCTCGGGATCTTGGGCTCGCACGCACATGCGCCCAGCGTGAGTTTTAAGCCATCGGGTCCAGGATGCGAACCCTGGTTGACTACGTGGGAGTCCAGCGACATAGCCATTACGCTAACTGCTGGTTCCCAAGAATTCAGGGATGTTTTAGAAATGAAAAAAAAAAAAAAAAATCCTACTCACCTGGGATCAGACTATGAAGAAAAGCATACACATTCCTTCATCCTTTGTGCTCCTCTGGGGAAGGATGAATTGAGAGGGCTGAGCTGGGGGAGAAGAAAGAATGAATGAAAAACTTGGCATGACTTTAAATTCTCAGATTCACTAAAATCTCCACATACAAAGTATATGGTGTGACCACTATCTCTCCTAGAAAGAGAATTTTAAAAGTCCAAGAACATTCCCTTTCAACAATCAGAAAAAAGGAGAACTGTGAGTACTGGCACTTTGAAACTCATTTCTTCTAGAAACTTCAAAGAATACAACTCTAGACTGGACAGGAAAGCACAGAATTTAATTTCAGTTTGGTCCCTCCAGAGGTGCAGATGTTCTCTATGTAATTCAACATATCTAAGCCTCAAAGTTTTATTTTATTTATCATATTATTACATAGTTTATTATTAATAACAAAAAGAATAAAATAGAAATAATAGCATAGCAAAGCGGTTTCTTTTTGTAAATATTTTTCCTCTTTTTTTTTTTTTTCCCAATCAGTTTAAGTAGAAAATAATTCCACTGCCCTCCCCTGGTTGCTAAAACACAAGCACTACGTTGATTATCAGAGGGTACTTGGAGGCTTGGAAAAGGATCTGAAATCTAGGGCTTCCAGTGTCTCAGCTCTGCCATGCACCACTTGTAGAGCTTTTAAGTTCTACTTGGAGAGGACTAAACCTATAGATCTCCGTTTCCTCACCTGTAAAATGGGAGCATGAGCCTTTGCCACCCCAGTCCTTCCTTGCTGATCACAGGTAGGCCCCTGCGAACAATAATAATTAATTAATTAAAAGCATTCTTTCTCCAGAAAGAAAAACGATTCACGCGAGCCCCAAGACTAGGGCAGGTCTGGGCTCTCCCGAAGCCCCACTGACCCACCAAAGGTAAGCACAGATTCAGACGTCGGGAAGGTTTTCAGCGGACTCGACCTCCCGGGCCCAGGGCCTCAGATCCGCGCGGCCTCCGCTGCGCATCCAGATCCTCGGTCCCGTCTGCGCGCTGGGACCTCCCCACTCCCAGCACCCGACTCCAGGGCCCACGCCGCCTCGACTCTCCTCTCCCACTCGCCTTACTCCGAGCCAGCAGCTGTGCAGGACCCACCTACACCGGTGTCTCCGGGATTCCTAAGCAGAGTCGCATCTTGGTCCCTGACCCTCGCTTTTCCACCACTCTCCTCTCGGCTCTTCCGGCCCTGACTGTCCACTTCTGGCTCGGTCCTCCCGAGAACCCGCGTCACTAACCTAGCCTCTGAGGGCACACGGGACCAGCCCCAAGGCCCGGGGTTCACCCAAACAATGGCCGCAGCTCCACTAGACCGAAACGGAAGTCCCAGGCCTTGGAGTAGACACTTGCCGCGTTTCCATGGAGACGGAGGGGCGGGGCGGGAGAGAGAGAGAGAGCGAGAGAGAGAGAGAGAGAGCCGCGCAGGAGAACGTGGCTCCTGATTGGCCAGAAATATGAGGGCGCGGCCAGCCCTGGGCGCCGGTGTCCCAGCGTGGGGAGCTGTGTTCTCTGGTACCTCGCGGCCGAGTGTGGGACCAGGCAGCCCCGGCACTACCGGAACAGGGCTGCTCTAGAGTTTCTGGGAAATGGAGCGACCGCTTTGGAAATTTCTGGGATTCTCACAGCCTGCGAGTGTGGAACCCCTCAGCGGCAACCGAGGAAACATGTGTGAGGTCGCCTTTGGTTGCATCTGCTGTCCCGCGCCCGCGGCGGAATGGGCACCCCGTAGCTTGGTAGCATCTTCCCTAAACTAGAAGTTGGAATCGCGGAGAGGGATTTCACATTCCACCCACCCTCCACCCTCACCCCAGGATTTGCCCAGGATTCGCTGTCTCCGTGGTCTGGCCGGGCTTTCCTTGGTCCCCTTTTCCTGCCAAGACCTGGCTGCCTCTGAGACTCAGGCACAGAAGGGAAGGCATGGTGGGACTGAGGTGGGAGCCTTGGGAAGGAAGGGCCCTCCTTGTCCTGGAACCAGCAGGAATAGCTCCCAGGACCTACTCTTCTGCTATTTAGTTGAGTATATTATATTAGGGAAATATTTTTGACTCCTTAAGTTCTCTCCCTCGAATTTGGTCTAAATCAGCAGTATTTTATTAGGAAAGGAGCCTTAAGAAGGGTAGTCATTAAAAAAGGACTCCTTGAATTCTGATCTGTCTGCACCATTTATTAGTGATGCAGCTTTAGCTGAATTACTTAACATTGTTGTGTCAGTTAAATAGGCATAATATTAATAGGCATAATAATAGTATTTCACGAGCTTGTTGTTAGAATTTGGTGTAATTAAAATGCTTAAACTAGAGGCCAACAGGTGGCATAGTGGTTAAGGTACTGAACTCCCACATGGCTGACCATGGTTTGAGTTCAGGACCTGGGAGTTTGAAAATCATGACAGTCATGTATGCAAGCATAAAATCAGTAGAGGAGAATTCCTAGAGGAGAATAGAAAAGAAGGGATTTCGTGTGACCTTCCTCCCACGGAGTGATTTCTCACTTTCCTTCTGTCTCTCCCTCTCTGTCTCTCTCTATCTCTGTCTCTGGCAAGTGCACATGCCCCATGACCAAAAAACAAACAAGCAAACAAACAAAAAAACAACTAATAAGTAAATAAATGAAAAAGAAAGAAAGAAGTTCCACACTTATTTTACCTCTATGCTTTGGGAGATGAGGGAAGTGACAAGTGCTTTTAAGTTTGACGAAGAAATCTTCCAATCATTTTTACTTTAGTAACACAGAGATGTCATTAATAACATTATCAGGGCAACAAATGAACAATTACAACATCAGTAATAATTTCATGTCTTTTAGATGATAAAGATTGCTTTCACAAGGCATTGAATAATTTCAAAAGTTGGGGTAGTTCTTAAAGATCCTCCATAAAGATAACATTTCCAAGTTAAAATTAATATAAACAAAAATAGAAAAAGATGACAGCAACTTGAATATTTCCATAGATCTCCTATGAGAAAGCAAAACAAGATGGAGATTTTGTTACTGTTTTTAACTTGGCATCTTAGTTTTATGGAGCGCTCCTTTCAGCAGCAGGAGTGAGATGCCGTCTTTTCGTTGTTGAGTTTTTATTCACTATAGGGCGCGTGTGCTCTTCAGAAAGACAGGGGGAGACAGAGAGATAGAAAGCAAGAAATCGCCCCACACACATACTCTCACCCCCCCACCCCCCAGGGATGGCCACGCCACAATCCCTTCTCCTCCATTCTTCTCTTGGGATCTTAGGCAGGCATGCACGTGACCTGGCGTGAGTTTAAGCCACCGGATCTGGGACTCAAACTGTGGTCGACTACTTGGGAGTCCAATGACATAGCTGTTACACCAACTGCTGGTCCCGATGCTATTTTTTTCCTCAGAAAAAAAAGGCATTTCATGACTTTTTGGTAGTAATTGTTAATTAAGAAGGCTTGCAGGCCAGCAGGTGGCTGGATCTCACATGGTTGACTATGCGGTTCTAGTCCCAGACCCAGTGGCTTGAAAATTACACCAGGTTCATGTGTTTGTGTGCCCAAAATACTGAGAGGAGAAAGGAGGAAAAGCGATTGTGGCCGCCCCCCAGGGAGTGATTTCTCATGTTCCCTCTCTCAATGTCTCTGTCTCTCTCTGGGTCAAGCACAGCCCCCCCGCCTTTAGCAAAAAAGAAAAAGAAAAAAAAAAAGGCCTGCATTTCATCTTATTTATTTGGTATTAAAAGAAAAAGAAGACCTGAAAAGTTGTATCTTACCAAATATAATAAGGAAGAGGCAAAACAGAATTTTCCTTTATTTTCTTTGGTAATAATGTAATAAAGGTCAATGTTCTTTACAGGGTATGCTTTTAGTGAGAAAAAAAATGATGAAAAGAAACAACAAAAGATACCCTCACTCCCCACTCCTGCATTATCCAAGGGGGATATGTTCCAAGCACCCCAGTGGATGTCTGAAATTGCAAATTGTACCAAACCCTATACAGTGGCTTTCTGTTATCTGTGGGTTTGGCATTCTCCAAATTCAACCAATTTCAGACTAAGTATATTCAGAAAAAAATAAAATACAATAAAGATTTATAAATTTAAAAATCAGTACAGTATAGTAACTATGTAGCATTTACATTGTATCAGGTATTAAGATAATCCAGAGATTATTTGAGGTATACAGGAGGATGTGTGTATGTTATATGCAAATACCGCATTATATTAGGGACTTCAACATCCATGGATTTTGGTATCTGCAGGGAGGTACAGGAACCAATCCTCTGCAGATACCAAGGGATGCCTGCATATACTATGTGTTTTCAATCTAATAACTGAGATGACTACTAAGTGACTAATGGGTGGGTGGCATATACAGCATGGATATGTTGGTAAAAGGGAAGAGTCATGTTCCAGTGGGATGGAGGGAGTCATTAAGAGATTTTATCACACTATTCAGAATTGGTACGTGATTACAACTTACGGATTTTTATTTTGGGAGTCTTCCATTAATATTTTCAGATTGAGGTTG